GATAGAAAATCCCAACGAACAGCTGTCGGGCAGAAAGCCCACCAGGCACGATCACCTCGCCTGGTCGGAAGATCCTCCTTTTCCGATCTTAGGGAACTTTCCACCCAGTTCCCTAAAGTGGTGACCCCGACGTGATCGGAAGCAACCTTCACTTCACGGAGCATCAGCACCATCATCCGTTGATTTGCGACATGTGACGCCACATATTTTATATTATAAACCTCACGGAGGCCAAGACCAACGAATGCAAAACCGTGAAAATCGGTTCGTGCGTTCGAGAGTTATAGCGTCAGGAAGGACAACCCGACTTATTTTTTACTTAATTAACTATTATAACAAATTAGTTAGTAAAAACTAAACAACATTCCTAACCCAGTGAGCACTATAACCCACTTCTCCCTCATTTCCATCTGTCTTGAGGAAACAAAAATGTGCGCGATGTTTGGAGTACAAAACAGACGGCGCAAAAGTGGGACACTCGGGTTCTTGTCGCGAAAAATTGCATCTGCCCCGAGCTAAGAGGGGAACTAGTTAATTTAATAAGGGAAGTATTACTGGTTGCTATCTCATTTTCTGTTTGCAATTGCATCAGGATTACTTGACTTGTTTTCGTTATAAAAGAATTTAAAGATAACAAACTTTCAGCTACGTTTCGGAAATAGCAACGACTATTTATTCTCCCTAAGCTAGAATTTTAGAGCTAATTGCAGACAACTGCAGTTAGAAGTAGCTGCTTCTTATCTTAACTGTCCGTTTAGCTTAGTTTTTAAACGAAAGTTTTGAACCTAAACTTTCAACAAACTCCGACGGAAAATGGGCGAGCACTCGGGAAAAGAAACAAAAATACCTACGTATCAGTCGTGAAAGAAGTTGGTATAAGTAATGGAATTTTAAAGAAACATTATGAGTCATGTTAATGACTCACAATGTTTCTTTAAAATTCAAAAATTAAATTTTAAAACCAATGTTAATTGGTTTTGGAATTTTTAGTCATGATGTAACGAAACGAATAGACTGTCTCGATGGCCGAGTGATCGCAAGTGCGACTGCCGGGCAAGGGTCTCAGGTTCGATTCCCGGTCCGGGCAAAGTATTACTGGGTTTTAAAAAATTATCAGCCCTACCGGGCACAATTCCAGACTCCGTATACCATATACCTATGGCAATAGGTTCACCTCCTATTACGTGGAACTCATAATATAAGTAGTGAAAAGTGGGTGTTACATTGTACAGTGGCATAATGTGCACCTCTGCCTACCCCTTTGGGGATAAAAGGCGTTATGTTGTGTAATGTAATGTAATGTAACGAAAAATTATTGATTCGAGGAGCTAACCCCTGATCAAACCGCAATACGGTGAAAACGTATGACTGTATGCAGAAAAATCACACCCTCCCATACATTCACGTAACGAAGGATACAGGTGATATACCGTAATCGTGGTCGGATCCATTAAACCTCCGCATTACCGTTTAAAACAACATCGCCTAACAGAATATTTTACAGCCGACCGCTCGTATTTATGCAAATCCAAGACACATTTCACTACACGTTGTATTCATGTTTTTCCACCTCCTTATACCTGGACCGTATTAAAATTTATAGAGAGCACATAAGAAGGGTCGCTCCGATTGAATGTTTTATTAAGTTTTCTGCGCGGATACTGCGGATAGTGGTTAGTGGTTAGTTCACAAGAAAAAGTACCCGGGCATTGAATAGTAATACTAATCCGGAGATTATGAGAAGCGAAAGAACTTAGTGTATTCTTTCGAGACTAAATCACGATCGGATCGTGTTGCAGATTACATTGAGTGTTACACGAACACTCTCAGATTTGTTTGTGTTTCAACGAACCGTTTTATCGGTTGGTAATCTCTTTTATGTGAACACATTTTTTGCTTAAGCTATCGGAAAATTCTAGGGAATTAAGGTGGATTCAGGTGAGGCAATGTTTTATGAACCAAAGTTAAGTACTAACTCTTCGTATAGAAATAAAAACTGTATATACAGTTGCACTAGCATCTTTACTTTATAACGTAGTCTTAAACACAGCTGTCACGAAAAAAACTGACATTTTGATCCCCGGTGTGACTAAAGTATACATTTTTGAACTAGACATTCTGCTGTACCGGCTAATGAGATTAACGATACTACAATTATACAAACAAACAAAGAATATATTTTACTATGCATGACAACCTAAATGAATACAGGAAAAATGTGTGATATAATGTTATGTTTACGATCATAACACAGTAAAAGCAGCAATCAATTTGATCAATAGTGTTCCAAAGGCAGTAACTTGGCCAACTCCAATTTGCCAGCAATTTCCCCCACACAATGTTATACAACGGACCTTGATCACTGATTATACGACAACTTTATATCACAATACACACACACACATCAAACAGCTATAACTGATCATACGAGGGTTGAGTGGCAGTTATTGGAAACACATACGTTGTAGATAATGATAGGATGGGACGAACGCTTAATTTTAACATCATACTAAAATAATTACTCACTATAACGCGTTTGACGTAAAGTGCAAAATCCCTACTTTATATGCGTGGCCTTGTTTGTATTCTGTGACTATTAAATCAGTTGAGGGTCGGCTTTCAAAACGACATAACGTCAGAACAAATGTCCCGACCGTTGACTCGTGACGTATGGCACTACATTGTACAATATTGTTCTTAGACAAAGTAATAGAGTGAGCTTGCGACTATAAACAATAGATGGCGTTAGTGAATTAGGTATTAAGATCTGAATCACGCAAGTATTTGCATGGTAGTAACGATTTCATTATACGGTCTGTTTCTACCATTTAGACGGACTTCGAACTTTGATGACGCTGTTTAGGGTTACTTCTCCTTCCTCCCAAATATATCTCAGGATATAAATTAGTTCCGAAAATTAAGTTTAATTAGTTTGCAGTCTTTTAGCCTGGAAGTTAGTTTGTATATCACTAATAATGTAAATTAGTTTGTTAATTTATTTAAGAAGTTCTTCTTCAAGACAAAAATATTCTTAAATTATTGATTAAATAATAACGATGTAGACCCAACATTCTTTTTGAAAACCTAACTACATATTTTAACCTAAAAGAAATACATAAAAATATTTTATAGCAACGGAATAATTGCCTAGGGGCTAAACGGTAACAGGAGGGTCTAAAATAAACAACATCTCAAGGATAGCGAAAAAAAGAAAAGTAAGAAACATTTGGCGACCGTTTTTATTTCCAATACCTCACGCTTGTAAATGTGTGGTCAGGGGCGTGCCATGAATAACTATGCAGCATTATTGGCTGGAGTGGGCAAAGGTCGTTCGCTGTAATGTCAATAAAAACAACGATCTAAAACAATAAACTATGGACGAAGTGGCCAGATTTGTAGATAAATAGACACAAGAAATAAAAACGAAACTTGTAGAAGATACGGAATGAAATCTTTGCACAATACATTTTTGAAAGACTAACGCAGTGGTTTAAATAAAATGTATAAAGGATTTCTGGAAACCAACAATTAAATTTTCTAATATATTACCATCGAACGTTCTAGAGACTTCGCAAGAATAATATCAGTCACGCGAAACGGCCATGTTTTAACATTTTTCGCATATTCCAACGCAATACGTTGAAATATTCGGGAGGATATTTATAAATGAATACTCGGAGCTTGGAATTTTTTAAACGAGGTTTTCAAAAAAGGTTTTTCGCTATTAAAGAATACCTTTTAGCTGTTTTTCCTCCATAGTATATCATAAGTCATTGTTCTACATAACAGGACTGAGAGCAAACTCAACAATTTTTCTTTTCTTTAGTAAATTCTCTGGTATTTTTATCAGATCAGATAAATAAAAAATCTAGGTACTATGTTCTTGGACTTTTTTGACCCATTGTCTTAAAAAATATCGGATCAACGAGACGGGTGAAGAAGTATATGTTTTATATGTATAGAACAAACAAGAAATCTTTTTTATTTTCTCTTTAGTAACAGGGCGGTCATTTGCTTTATCAAGCTCATTTTGTGCAGCATATATACATGCAAACACTGAACAGAAACTTAAACACAATCCAACAGCAAAACTAAAATCAGTCGAAACTACAATTTGTTGTTTAATTACAATACTAGTCTGCAAACAGTTAATACTGGAACTATTGGCAGAAGTTCAGCTAACCAGTAATTGGGAGGAGCAGAGACGATGGTCTAAGATAAGAATAATATAGAGGGAAGGAATTTGGAGCATTGAGATAATAAACAGATCTGTGTCACGATAACGGCTTAACTAACTTATAAATGGAGCCTAAATTCCCGACATGTTTCTGGTGAAGTTGGTACAAAGTCACATCAATACGTTCAAGGTTTTTGATTGGTTCCCTCGATAGTCGCGTTCATGTTGTCTCGTACGAGGTGACTGTGTAAGTTCCACGTATTCGTATTGTTCGTAAGTTTGTGATATCGTTTTCGACTTCATTACCTGTTTATTTTATTCGTGTTGAGTATATATGTTTGTATTTATACTTTTTGGTGCCAATTTGTTGAATATTTTTCGTTTCTTTGGTTCGAAAGTTGTAAGTACAAAGGCTACTTTTCATTGTGTTTAGAGTCAGTTACCAATAACTGTGACTGTCTGTAATTCAAGCCTATTGCGTATCTTCAAAATGTTTTGGCTCTTAAATTATAAATTGTCAAAGTCAAAGTCAAAATCATTTATTTCAATTAGACCAGGAAGGCACTTTTAACTTCAAAACAAAATATTTAAATTTAAAATAATAAGAAAAAATGTCAGTCTGTAGGTCAGTCCTCTAGTGAAGCTATTTGCTCGTTCCAAAGTGCAGATTCCTATGAAGAAGAACGAGCAAGAAACTCCATAGGTTACTCTTGTTCAATCATGTTCACAATTTGCACGCCCTTTTTTACCACCTGTTGAAACACATAACAATACAGCAAACATTTCCTCAAAAACAAAATTAACCTCACCTCCTTTGTTCCAGCCCGCAGTGTGTCCCATACGATCACAACACTAGAAGTACCCCTGTGGGCGGACCCACGGCGCGAGGCCGAGCTCCGCTGCCAGTACATGCGGCAGCAACACGACCCTCCGCTGCATTCCGTCAAGTGGTACCGAGACATGCACGAGATCTTCCGATATACGCCGCAAGAGGTCAGTAATTATGATGTTAATAATAATCATAAAGACTAACAAATCTAATACTAAAAGTATTGATACAGACGCTCTTAAATGGCTCTAAAAGGCGATCTATTGAGTATGCTCAAAATTTTTCAAAAATAGAATGCTAGTCGGCTCTCAAAATGAATGAAATTAGCATGTTTTCGTGTTTGAAATTAACATGTGTAACAGTATTTTTATACCGTAAAATTGGTAAGCCATTCTAAATGACATTGCAAAATTACAGTTGATTATTAAGATGGTTACAATTGCCCTATTACTGGATAAAGTGGATTTTAATTTGACTTCTTGAAATGACAAAGAGAAGAAAGTATCTGTATGACAATAAAAGGAAACGGTTTGTTAAACTCAAAACGCTAATTTTGAATAATTTAAAAGTTATATACGCAATAAAAGTAATCAAATAAAAATTAATTAAAAAAATTGTACCCAATAATAAAACAGTTGCAAGGGTATCGGAATGGAACGTAGCGTAAGGTCGTCACCAAGTCAACCAACATTGCATTTTCGACTTAATATGAAAACGATAAAGTTGAAAACCTAAAAAATAATTTGATAATGTAGGTGGACCAGCACCGGCTGTTGACAAGTGTGCACAGAGCTCTCGGTCCAACAACTCGGGGCAAAGGAACCGACTGTTGTTTGTTCCTCTTCATCTTAAACTGTTAAAATATTGATTTCTCTGGTACTAGTGGTGTAAAAAGGTGTCGTGGTGGCCCAGAGGTTTAAGACGCCCACTTCTTATGCATGAGGATGCGGGTTCGAACCAACGGCAAGTACCAATGTAACTTTTTCCGATTTATATGTACTTTCTAAGATTATTGAGACACCACTGACAAACGGTGAAGGAAAACATCGTGAGGAAACCGAAACTTATAATTTCTAATTATAAGTTTGAAATCACCAATACGCATTCAGCCGTGGTGATTAATGCTCCAACCTTCTCCGTGTGAGAAGAGGCTTTGCTCAGCAGTAGGCATTTATAGGCTGTTGATGATGATACCTAAATTGTTCGTCACTAAAGTCCAATTATTCATATTAAAATAATATTAATAAGACATATCTGAAAGTCAGAGAAGTATATTTGTATGTTGGCACAGAATAAGTTATAAAGGTACAGTCGCCAGCACACTAACCTACTCCAATCTGTCACTTTTATTTATTGGACTTTCGTCGTTATATCAATGTTACAAAGTTGAAAATTTAATTAAGAAATTTGACAGAACAGAATAGATAGACAGTATCAGTTTAAACTCAATACTAATATCCACACAAAAGCCAAAACTGACATGTTTCAACTAAAATAACTAAACATCGACAAATTCATTCAATAGTTAATTTCAAACTAACCAGATTACAAATTCTCAGTAATTCAACGGTTTTCAGACACTTCAATGTAAAATTGTTAAAGTTCTATTTTGGGAAACGAATCTGTGCTAAAACGTTTGACAGTGACATGGCGGCTGGCAGCGTGATGTTTGAGGTCAGAACCAGACTTGGTTTATCAGGCACCAGACCGATTGCAAAAACGAAAACCGTTCCCAGAACATCCTGTATCGTGAATAAATATTTACGTACTAGGCATGCATGGAAGCATAGAAACCTCAGTTTTTAGCTATCCGTTGTATTGTCCAAAATAAAAATCTATATATTTTTGGTTACATCTGCATGAAACTGAAAAAAATTTTACGAATATTTTTCTAAGGTTTTTGGGTCAAGTCGAAATTTTTACACTAACTACCTTAATTCATTGGCTATATGAATGATATTATAGTTTGTGATGTAATAAAGGCTTATTATTAGAAACAATCCTCGATAAGATAAATTCCCTGAAGTACTTCGATTCCCAGGGAACCTACGGCAAACTACTACCGACCCATCATATATTTAGGAATCGGATTTCTATAGCAATTAAAATCATGACAATCATGCGTCACTCGGATCACTATCACGCCAGAACTGTGCCTGTCACAATCCGATTGCGGTTTCAATAATTTTAATGTGACGTGATCCCTAGGTCAATGGTTCCATGTTTTATTGTCAGCCCATTTGATACTAATTAGGCTTCGCTTTGTTTATACAGCTAATCAGTTTGGTGGTAATTCAGTCGATTTGTGTTCAGTTAAATAAATTCTATAAATGTAAAGCTCTGTGGATTAGCGCTTGATTTTGTTTCGTTGTTGTTTTATATTTGTAGTTTTCAATCAGATGACGAGGTACGTTGTTTAGAATTCATTATAACATAGTGTGTAGATTCTACACTGTAGAATGTAACACAGTAAATATTTGACTAAAGAATTTTCATTAGGTAGGTACTTGTCTCAAATAAAAAGTTTTACGAATACTAAAAGGATACAATAGTTTAAGTTGCGCTCAAATATAGTTCTGTCACTATAATTTTTTTGTGAAATGACAGAGTTGGTATGATATTTAAGTACAACTTTAATTAACATATTTTTTATGGGATAAGCCGGTAAACGAGCATACGGATCACTTGATGGTAAGCAATCGGCGTCGCCCATGGACACCTGGAACACCAGAGGCGTTACAAGTGCGTTACCGGCCTTTTAGGAATTTGAGTATTGTTGAGGATTCAGGGATTAGGGAAAGGGGGGGGGGGTAATTGGGCTTCCGGTAACCTCACTCATACGACGAAACACAACACAACGTTGTTTCACGTCGGTTTTCTGTGAGACCGTGGTATAACTCCAGTCGAGCCGGCCCATATAAATATATTATTGTTAATGTAATTACTTCAGAAAAATCATCTCTTGTAGGATTAGTGTCTGAGGTAGTTTATACCATACAATTAATACTTAGTCTTTTATATAATTAGTCTTAATTATCAAATTATGTAATACACACAGAATTGAATAACTTCGAACTCTATTCTGTTGAACGTGTATGTATGTGTTAAGATATCAGCATAATTATACACGCCGGTGGGTGTGATGCCGCTTTGTGCTGACTGTACAAAGCCGATCGTGTTTGCAAACGTTCAACCCGTCACTCTCCCCGAGTGAAACTGTCAAAACATTTAGGTACTGTGAAGTACCTCTTAGATATTTGTTTACAGCACCTACATACTACATATGAACATATTACTTTGACCAGTGACGAAATAATTCTTACTATGAATAAGACAATGGGGATGATGACAGGATATGAAAATTAAAAATCTACTTAGTCCGTAAGTTAGGTAATGAAAAAATATTAGACACGTATTTTTTTATTTTGTCGTATAATAAAACAATACTTAGGTAAAAGTTTAGGAGTGGGGGGCTAAAACGTCATTTCTACGTATAAAATGTACATAGAAGTGACGTTACGCTACATTTCAAATCAATATATCGTCGAAAATATTCGTTTCTGTAAGAAAATAAAAAATACGTGTCTAATGATTTGAAATAATCTACCAGACGGACATTAAAATAAAAATTAGGCATCTACACTATTCTAAAAATACCTAAGTCGGTATATTTCGCCGAGTATTTTTAGGATTATTGATTTTACGACGAATAGTCTCTAGCAGTAACACTTTGGGGCAATAGACGTTCAAAGCAGTGTGTGACATACCTGGACATAATAGGTATAACATCACGCCTTTTATCCCTGAAGAGGTAGGCAGAGGTGCCCATTACGGCATGTACATACCATGCAACACCCACTTTTCACTATTTTATGTTATGAGTCTAATGTAAACCTACCATATATTGGGCACAATTCCAGACTTTATGCTGCCACTGAGAATGTTTTAAAAACCCCTTGCCCGGCAGTCGCATTTGCGACCACTCGGCCTATGAAGCAGGCAAAAATTTTTTTTACTCTATCTTATTTACTGGAGTAGCCTAAGTTAGTCCCGCTGCTTACATGGTATTCAAAATAAGAAGCTACGTCTATTTGTAAGTGTTGCCGCTGCTGTCGAGAATGGCATTGTTAATTACATTCATTAAAAAAAAAATTATGACAAGTAACTATTGTCATAATTATGTCTAGACTAGACTATACAAATATTTATAGCAAAATATGTTCATACATGACGATTCAAAGTATATTTTAAAATGTAACAGTTTCTGCAAGAAAGTTCGGAAAGCATATCATTTTAAAACTAAATTGTAACTAGACTTCTGAATCATGTATCCGTGTAAAACTAACGTGAACGTGTTGTTATCGACTTGGTACCAATATAACTGCGTCAGGACGTCGAACATTTTAGACATTCCCAGAACAAATTCACAGTCTATCCAAAATTGAAATTGTATTTGCATTCTGGGAATACATCGTTAGGAACGAGGTTTCCGATGGTAACAGTTTTAACAAGCAATTGTCAATTCCAAAAACGATGTCTATAGTTCATCAGAATTGCAGAAATAGAGGCTGTCGTCAGTCTTGTATTCTCTATTCTTCGTGAGAAATAAATTACTACGAAATGTATCGAAATAAGAGGAATGCTTGATGAGGAGAATTAGAATAAGGCGGCGTTGTATACTGATCTGCTTAAAATTAAATAAACGGCTTTGCGAATACATAGATCAAAGTAACATGTTAGTATTTTTTGTTTTTAATATCTACTATTGTATCGTTAAGTGTCAGTAATATCATGTACATGTCTATGCACTTCTATATGTAATATACCTACATACATATTTTTTTTCTAATGATGAAGAAAAATAATGTCTTCACCCATTGTTACCCATTATTACACTATATTTATCACCTAAATAGACTTGCTGTGTTTGAGCTCAAATATTACACACACATAGACATACTGTACGACAGTATGTGTCATAATTATTTACCAAGGACATGACCTACATTATTTCTTTTTTGTTTTGTACATGAAACAAATCTGTCTCCTTAACTGAGCACAGACCATTATTTACTCATGTTAACAAGCTATTTGGCTGTTACAGTTCAGAATGAGTAGAAAACAAGAAGATAGTTATAATATTATATATAGATAATCGTCGTAG